AGGGTCCTGGCACCCTAGAATCCATTTGACACCGTTTTCAATGAAAGAGACCCTACTATTGGGGTGCTTTGGGTGCATTTTTGGGTGATCCAAACAAAAGAGACTCAGGTGCTGGGAATGCTTATTGTTAATAGATCGAAAAGCATATTCGGTGGTCATGTCAGCATTGGAAGGGGTGGCAAACTTCTTAACATCGCACATGTAGAGGGGGACATCAATGTTTGCCCAGTGCTGTGGTCCCAAATTTAGTTGCTTGCCAGCCCGTCTTTCCCACGGGTGTGCTCCAACGTGCTTAGGTGGTTCACTCCCATGTGTTACCATATAATATGTTACCATATGGAGCAATGCATATGATGCGGGATGTATTCCTTTCTTGTGTCAAACACAATGGTGTTGCGCCCAGACTACAACCCCACTTCGACATACTCTTGAGAGAAGAGTCTTGAAGGGTGATTTCTTCAACAAAGACGACAGATATGAGTGGCTATGGAAGATGGGGTTGATACCTGAAGAGGTCTAACCTTTTGCGTTGGTTCGCTTTCCACCCTCTGTTGTTCAACTGCCTTCACCAAGGCAGAGCGTTCTGGATGGAAGTATGTCCTTGGAGTCTTGGATTGGACCACTCCCGACTTACAGCAAAAAACCGACAGCGAGGCATGCGCCACGCAGCAAAAGGATAGCCTTTTTTGCAGACCCATGGGTTTTCAATGGCTCCAATGCACATCAAAAGGAGGTTTGGGTAAGACACGGTTGCTGTGTTTATTTGTATACACGCATCCTGGTGTGAGATAGGATTACGTCCAAAAGTACCCTATTATAATGCCAATCATTGCCAATTTGTTTGCCCCAAAAGACCAAACGCAGTCCTGTGTAGATTATGCTTGATGAAGGTTGGATAGGTGGGACAAAACATTCAGGAAAACTGGCTGAGACTAAGACAGCAGGGCACGTCACATGTATATAGTTTTGGGCCAAATTGTATCTATACATTAGAGCCGCCTATGTGTGGATGGATGCTTATACCACCTATCGACAGACCTGGGACCGATACCCATCCATCACCACCCATGGACAATGAAGCCATGACTGGACCACTCAGGTGGCTCATCCCGGCATGGCACTGGCTGCTCTCGATGATCATTTGGCCCATTTGCCGCGCTGTGATGGCCGTGCACCTTTGACAGATTGTGCGGTGACCATCAGCCTGGTCACGGGTGTCGGGTCGCCAAGTAACTAGCCTGGGCCTACCATCCCCTAGGGCTCCAGTCGTACCTCCTCAGGTTCGGTATGACACCGGACCCTCCAAACCCCACCTCAGTCCCACCTTCTTAGAAGGTACGACTGGAGCCCAAACGGGATCCGTAGCCAGAATCCCAAAGAACCATTGCCTTGCTAAGGATTTGACAAAAGTAGGCTCAACCGAACTCGTTTCATGATCACTTCCGGAAGGCCTCCCAGGGTCTTCGTAAGGCAACCGTAAGGCATCTCTGCGAATTCCATTGAATTCCAGAGATATCCATGATATCGATCATGACCACGAAAGACAGAAAACAGGACATTTCGATCGCTCTGGTGAATTTATTGATTTATGTCCAACTCCTCAACTCCTGATCCTGATTTTGCTTAAGGTGATCTTGTACTTTTCCTATGGGGAAATCAAATCCCCTTTCTGGGGAATATTCTGTATATAATTTATGATATATTTTAATGTGTTTCCATCGACCCTGTTCCTAAAGCAACATCCAAGTTGTGTGAACTGAGGAGAAGACCTCGATCACTTGGAAGTTGGAGATGGAAGCCCACGGCTTGCTGCCCATTGGCCAGGCGACTTTCTTCGTCGCGAAGCCGATGAGAACAGGCCTTTGGGAGTCGCGATCGGCCTAGGTCTCCGATGCTGGAAGGAATTGACCAAACCAGCTGTCCTTCAACCTGACCTCCTTGTTGTTTGGATATCCAGTGGCCGGTCACGTTGAAGGAACACCAAGAACGTGCGACGTGGAGCAGGATCGATGGAAGAACCCTACAGTATCCCATAGGTACCCCTGGTAGAGTCCATGAGGCCACTTAACTTCTCTTGGAGCTTCGCTTGGACAGAGCTGAGGTGTTGGCGCCGACTGGCTGGTGCAATTCAAGATTAAACACATAGAAACAACACCTGCTTGGGTGGTTCATTCCAAACCCAAACCCTTCCTTCCCACATGGTTCCTTCTTTCCCGGTCCATCCGTGACCTGCACACGTGTCATTTGATTGACAACAGGAACTGAGCTTTGAGTGCTTCTGTCCCTTCGCCCAGACCGGTCGGCAGACTCAGCGGGACCGGGTGGGTGCCGTTGTGAAGAACCGGGGGAAAATGACTCGTTTTGACGCTGGATATGTGTTATATATGATGTAATATAAGGAATGTGGTTTTTGTGGCTCGTATGGGAATTCCTTCCAACATGATGTTTTGAATAATCAATTATTCAGACATGATGTCAGCCCAAAGCACCTTGAAGATCTTGAAGTCGACCTGCCAAAGCTACCTCCACTGTGGCCTGATCTAAATGCCTCCCCAATAAGTCCCTGTCACTCACCAGGTAGGGACAGACCTTCCAACCACCCCCACCCCAATCCCCAACCACCGAACCTTTTTGGATGTGGGACAGGAGCCCTGGAGGGGAATCGATCCACATGTCTCACCCCGAAGCGAGCAATTTCAGCCCCTCCTCAGCAGCTGGCTACCAAGGCCCCGTGGGGAATGTGGCCTCGGGCACAATCCGTTACGAGGACCAGGCCCTGGTTGGGGCGTGGACGGCGCCTTTTTCGGCAGATCCATGGTACCTTTGGGAAGACTTCAGACTTCAGCATAAATACAGTCTGGCTTCACTAACATGGAAGTGGACAATGGTCCCTTGGAAGACTACATTCCTTTAGAAACAGGGGGGTCCACTTCCATGTGAAACACATGTGAAACGGTCACTCAACACGATTTGGACTTTCATACAGTGTGAGCACTGCAAGTGTTCTTTAGACAATTGTTAACATTTTTTTTCATTTGAGGTCTTTTTTGTCCAGTTGGTTGTTTACACAAAAAGACAGCTTCCAGCTCAGGCTCCACTGGCATTCTATGGATCGGGTTCATTGAGCCCAGGCCATTTCGAAGGTCCATATTCAACATCCGTAAGGAAGCCATGCCCGGTTTCCAGGGTTGTATTGGTTGAGCCCTCAATGAGGTTCAGTATGAACCCATACCGGGTTGAATCCTTCCCCTCACGGGGGCCCCTCACGGGGCCACATCGCAAAGACTATGAATCCAGCTGCATGGTCAGAAAGCTGGTAATCTGACTGGTGCGACTCGTAGGGAATAAGGGAATGAGCCCCCAATAGAGATTCTATTGGATCCAGCCACCCTCATTCCCTGCGAGTCGCACCAGTCAGTACTTATTGACCTTGTGAGCGAACATGAGAACATCCGCCGTATGCCTGTTTCGGCAATGCCTTGCATGCTCGTTTCTGGGTTTGTTGAAACAAGCATCTCCTTGTGCTAGATCTTGGCCACGCTCTCTGCAGTGATCACGTCCAGTGACAAGAATGCCGCGTTGCCTGCGGCAGGACGAGGGACGGACAGGGGATGACGGGCCCCGGTGTGAAATCTGTGAAGATCTCCTCTTATGCTTTCCTGAGGATGAATGACTGGCATGAATCGGTGTGAACTCTTGGACATGGATCATCGTAATTGCATGTCCCAGACACTCCATGTATGGTAATTATATTTACCTACATTGAGGTGGTTTGAGGGGTCAATGTAGACATAATATATATATATGGCATACATGGAGTCTCGGGGTGTTGTTCAGTTTCTTCATCAAGTTCAAAGAACGACAAGAAAACACATGCCGACCAGACTCATTTGGCACTAAGACTTGCGGACGCAGTGGATCCCTGCTGTCGCACCGCCCGTCCCCTCCGCCCCTGCAGGACTTTGACCCACTCGTGCGTGGCGAGAGCTCGCGCGGGATCCGGATCCGTCCTCGCTTGCGTGGGAGAAACAGCTGCGTGTCACGGCGCTGGGACCTCTCCGCGGTCACGCAACGAAAGGACCCTCCTGGAACGATGTGGGGGTCGTTCAGTCACGGAACGATGGAAGCAGATGCTCCGTTCCAAAGCCTTGCAGGACTGATACTTGAAACATCTTGAAACAAATATATATACCCTCACCGCCCTCTCCTGCGTGTGTTTCCAAATGTTCGTGTTCGATTTGGATCCGAGATCGGAAAACACATAACTGCTGTAGACTGACTGGCTGCTAACTAAATCTAATTAATTAGCATTCCCCCCTGGCACATGCCCCAAAAGAAGCTCTGCACTTTGGCGCCATAGATGGGCACAGAAATTCGCTGGAGATGCTCGCTCTTTCCATGTAATATAGACTCTTGATTGATCACCCCAGCCATATGAATTGAACATCCTATATGGGGAGTGTATGGTCCTCAGTCGAGTCTACATCATTCAGAATCAGAAAGACCTTCAGTGATTGGGGATATTGGGGTCCACAGTTACTCGCTTCGCCCATCTTCGCCCTCTGGCGGGGCGATGTGGGGAGAGCGGGCACCGGCAGCGTGGAGCGGTGCGGTGCTTCATGGAGACTCCGTTTCCCACGCTGAAGTGGGACTCACCCGTGTGACCCGTGAAACCGGTCGTGCCCACAGCCCCCGAAAAACGTCCAGGACGCGACCACCTGACATCTTCGGCGGCCATGAGTCGGGCGATGTGTGGATGTTCCCCTGGGCGAAGCCCCGGTGATGGGCGATGTAAGCCTTTTACCGAAATTAAAGCAAATCGAAGTCGAACGGAAGTATAGTGAAACACAAAGGGATTTCACCAAGAATTGCTACGAGCTTTCGCTATTTTCCATCTCACCATACTTCCACCCATCTTCGGGTCTCTCATCTATAGACTATATATGTATGGCCTCCCTCCGCCGGTCCACATCCGACGCCTTCCACGTGACGGCCTGCAGAGGCCGATGGTGAATGGCGTCAGCTGCGGACAACGCTTTGCCCATCCCAGCGATGCCTTGCAGGCGATGCTTTGTCAGCGCTTCGCCGCGGCGTGGCGTGAGACGTGTGGAAAAGAAGAGATCGAGCGAAGGTCCTGAAGGGAATCATTGTGGCAACCAGAGCAATAGAACTTAAGTATGCTATATGAAAAAATATATCCGTGTTGCAAATGGTCATGCTTTGCTTTATGGTGAGTGGCATGAGGATGGGAGTCTTGGAAACGCCATATATGAAACGACTGCAGGCCAGGGTCCTGGCTGGCGCCCGGATCCGCACCCGGATGTGTGAGGGGGGGGAAGCGACCCTGGCGCCAGAGGTCCCGGACCTGGAGGACTATTGGGGCGCCCATCGGATCGTCACCTGTGACGCACCGGCACCTGTGACCGCAGTCAAGGCGTCAAAGGCGTTTTGATTGACGGCCGGGAGGGTGGATGGGTGGGCAGGGGCTCAAAGGGGGAGCATGGTGGGGAACATGGTGGTTATGTTTGATTTGCTTGGTTTTTGGCATGTTTTTGGCATGACGATCACATGGTTTTTCCGATGTTTTTGGTCCGACCTGGCACTTCGCTTCGTCCCCGGTTCAAGATCTGCACCGGGAAGGTGCACGGAAATAGCCGATTCCGATCATGGAAGTTCCTAAGATAGGGAGGGGGTTACGACCCAGTCACCTACCAGGAAGTTGTGTCCAAGTTGTGTGATCTTCTGCAGGCTTGGGCGCTATGGAATCCACAATCAACCTAATTATGGATCGACGTGATCTAGACGGATTTCGTGACTGGTCAGCTCCGCGCCTCGCGCGCGGACTGCTGAGGTTTTTTGGGTGAACTTCAGCTTGTCCGGGAACACCAAGCGCTACCTTGACATCAGTGCAGGCGGAACGCGGAACCGCGTGAGTTTGGATTGTCTGAGATGGATCATTGGTCAAATTCCATCATGCCCAACCCCAGACTACATTCCTCCCAACACCCCACACGTTGTTCATTCACCACCCAATGAACACCAAACGTGCTCAAGCAGGAGATCTAGACATTTGCAGATGTCCCAGTGTTCTTCGTTTCATCCACAGCCAGACCTGGACGCTTCTTCCGCTGGAACCAGCGATCATCCGCCTTGGCAGGCACCCTACATCCGGCCTCCTCCTTCAGCCGGGGTCGCAGTTGCGCAGGTGCTACACTGATGCTGGAAACCGGACCTGCCTCCGACAGGTCACCAGCTGAGATCATGAACCCAACAACCCTCAAAAAGGAGTGACCTGTTGGAGCCTACTGGTATAGTTATAATTATTAAATTATATGAGATTCTAGAGATATAGATTGTTGTTTTAGGTGGGTGGAAACTTACAATTTTAACATCCTGGTGGGTATAAGCCAAAACTACACCTCTTTGTGTGGCAAAGCGACTGTCAAGACGTCCCAGGTACGTTTCACGCAAGTCGATTCCTGCTGCTCTTATGACCAGCGACATCAATTAAGCGATATCAGCGTTCGTCACGAGCAGAGGCTCTGATCGGCTGTGGGATTTGAGAGTGGACGCGTGAGCCTGGCCTGCTTGGAGCCTCCACTTTTCTCGATCTAACTAATCCGAGAGAAGCCCAGACCATGCAGATCCGTCCGTTGTTTGGACCACCACAGTAAGTACTTGCGTATAGATCCTGAGCGATGCCGTGCCAGGTTGGTGCTTGCACCGGGCTTGCCACAGCTAGACCCATCCACGCTGGAGATTGACCTCCCAGCTGAAGTAGGCGGGACCCGTGGTTGGCGGTGGTGCCTAAAGTCTGAAGACTCATCTGCAACCCCCTGGACCGGATCCTCCACCCAAAGGATTCAGAGCGCTTCGTTTTTTTTTTGGGCACGGACAGACATGACGGACGATCACCTGAAGCATGACACAGATGAAATAGCACATGATGTTTGGGGTGAGGCGTGCAAAAGAGCACGTCCTTGACCTGCACGATGAAGGGATCATAATGAGGACAAAGAGGGATATCATTGATCCAATTCACATCACGCACAAGTGGTTTGTTTATTTTCCCTTTGTTCAGCCGGCCACCACACTTTTTAGCCTGCTGGTTGAGATGTCCCCTATGGCCCATGGGGTCCCGTTCATCTTTTGATGAAGCTCTTCAACATTCCTGCAGTCCAACAGCTACGTATCGCCTTGGCTCACAGGTAGCTTTGGTCAGCTCCTACAGTCCCCAGAAGACGTCTCCACCTGCGCGCTTCTCGGCTCCAACGTAGACACTACAATGGTGAGTGCAGGAGATGGCATGCAGTCTTCCAAATCTTTCAGGAAACCCTCGAGAAAGTACTATTAGTAGTAGTAGTAGTAGTAGTAGTAGTAGTGGTAGTCGTAGTGGTAGTGGTAGTGCTAGTGGTGGTAGTGGTAGTGGTAGTCGTAGTCGTAGTCGTAGTAGTAGTTGTAGTTGTAGTAGTTAGTAGTAGTTAGTAGTAGTTAGTAGTAGTTAGTAGTAGTTAGTAGTAGTTAGTAGTAGTTAGTAGTAGTTAGTAGTAGTTAGTAGTAGTTAGTAGTA